CATTACACTGCCAAAGGTCGACAGAGCATCTCGGGCACTCAGTGAAGCCTGGGAAGCCATGGGCGAATATGTCTGAAACAAGCTACGATCATGCATGTTCAAGTGAACCACAGCCTGCTGGAAAGTTACAGTTGTCCGAAAGCGTGGCCCATTTTCGAGCAATCAAACAACATGTGCCCCACGTAAATCCAGGCTCACCGACCAATGCGCCCCTTCGTTTTAGCGGCTCGGGGTGGTTTCCAATGTTGATGTTTGGTCGAAAGCATTACTTGCTGGTTCTCAGCAGGGAATGAGGGAACGACCCCCAAAAGCCCTCCCCTATGGTTTCCTTTGAGGCAGTCCGGTTCATTCCCAACACCCGCACTTGGTGATTCCGTACCGACTGCGCACCAGCAAGAATCACCGGAACAGCTGCCGTGTTCAGCTCGGACTCTGTTTCACGTTGGCACATGGATTCCTTTCCCTCTAGGCAGCCTTTTAGAGTGAGACTCAGCCAAGTGGCTTGGTAACTTGAACGTGTGGTACCAACCACTAGGTGGTTAGCAAGGTTGGTAAGCCCTAGTCAACCCCAAGTTCACCACCCCTCTGAATCCCTGTGACCAGGGCTACTCTCAATTTAAAAGAACCCCCCCAAATCCCGTTGAACCGGGGAAGAAAAAGACCTAACCCAAATTTTGAGCCAATCCAAAACCAAGGACATGTATAAATGCATATGTCAAGTACATCCTGTAATGACAAATTAAGCAACTCAAATAAACCCCAGTGCTTCCATTTTCCACTACAATAGGTAACGAGGGAAGAAGAAACATCATGGTTTTGTAGGGGGTGCTATGGGAGGGGGGGGGCCTTGTTAAGTTGGCTTATCCTTGGCTTATCCGCGGATAGCCCCCCCCCCCGCCCCCGCCCCATAGCCCCCCCCACAATGACAGTCAGAAATCAATTGAGCACTTGACAAGCTCTCAAAACGCATAAAATATCCGAGAAGTTCGAAAGTAGTTGCCTTCTTGGGAGTAGGGGTCCATGAAAAACCGGGCGCCGTTTCGCCCAAAAAAAAGGAGAAAAAGTCCGTCGCCTCCAACTCATCCCGTTTTCCGATGGCCTGGAGGCCGACGCAGCCACCAGCCCAGCCCCAGCACCTGGCGGGAGGGCGAGAAGCTAGCGAAAAGTTGCCTTTTAGTGGTTTAATACAGAAAACCCAATAGTTGGCAAAAAGTTAAAGTCCTAACATCCAAGCAAAATGCACCAAAGTATTGGTCTGGTCTCTGATTTAATAGGTGAATTGGTGCGACAGGGAATGAGAAATGGGATGAACCGGTTTTGGGGATTCCCGACTAAAGGAAACCACCGGTTGGATGGTTTACACAATTAATTCCAATTCATTCTCTGCTGAGCACCAGCAAGGTGAGGTTGTATACAAACCATGTGGTTTTGGAGAGTTTATTATTTTTGCGGATGTTTCAACTCATCATGTTGAGTTTTTTGTTTTTTTGCAAAATGAAGTGGCTCCCCTTTGGTGTTCCTTGAAAACAACAACGAAAAGGGCACCAACCCTCGAGCAAAAACACCCAAAAGGGGGAGCCATATAAGTATGTTAGAGTCGGGGGAGCCCTAGGTATGCGATTTCTTTCTTGCGTTCTTCCTTTTTCTACGCCCAGAGCGAGAGCTCGAGCGGCCACGGTCGTCTCCTAAGACATATTATGTAGAAACCAAACTAGAGGGTGTCCTGTACCAAGAGAGAGTCGTATTAGACAGTCGTATTCATCTTAATTCATCTTTCTGCTTTCATCTTTTCATGTTTCCACTTTTTGGTCTTCCAACCGGATGCTTCTCGGTCCAGCCTGCAACAAATCCGGACCCCAAAGAGGGTTGCTGTGAACTGCCTAGTTGGCACTGGGTGTCCTTTTGTTGTCCCTTGAGACAAGCGGATTTCGGCCTCCAATTAGACGACCCCCAAGCTACGGATGTTCAAAATGAAATTGCGCAACGGTCTCCCCGTCAATGTGGGGTGTATGTGTTAGTTCTTCTTTTTTCTGGGGTACCCTTTTCGAGGGTCCCCCTATTTTGACACCCTGTTTTCAAGACCTTGGGCTCTTCAAGACGGTGGGACCTCTAATAACCGGCCCATCTCAGCAAATGGCTGCATGTCAAGCCTCGTCTAGACTGTCCGACCTGTAACAGGTTTATATAACTTTTGGGTTGATAGGGAAAAGACGCAAAATCTAATGGTGCAAAAGAACCCTTTAAGCTGGCCAAGTTCGGTAAATATGGCGACCTTTGATACCGGGACCTGAGCATGTTGAGAACACAAAGCAACCAAGAACCTGCCCAGCAAACGACAGAACTTTCAAACCCTGCAGGTGCACTCCTTCGCTCGGACCGGGGAGTCGCTGGTTTGTTGCGAATACCAAAGCGAGATTACACAAAAACCACGAGACTACTCGATCACCCTTGAAGGGCTTCTCCTGGTATCACAAAGAAAGTTGCCACAATTGTGCGCAACCATGGCACAACTGTGCGCAACCATGGCAATAGGCAAATGAATTTGATCTACCTCCTGAACGTTAACACATACACGCAGAACTCTGTGGGGTGCCATTTTTGAAGCTGTCATGTTTACGGTCTGCCGCTAGATTTGAAATAATTGTCAACGGGAAGACTGCTAGCCTCGAAGCCACGTCACTCCAGCTGTGTGCTGACTGTATCTGCATCTGAACCAGCGAACTCTTCTTTGGTTCTGGCTGCGAAAGCCGTTGAAGCCTTGGCCCGCGCGGGAACTGCCTGCGTCTCGTGCCTGTGGCCCCTGCGGGTCCAGGGTAGGAAGCCTCGCGAAATGATCCTGGTGCCCAAGGGTTCCAATCGCGAAGGCCAATCTGCCAATCGGAGCAGCGGAATCCAAGTCGCGTTTTTATGAAGCTCCAGGGCGAAGAGACTTGGGTATGCCAGAATAAGCGGACGCCCAAAATGGTGAGGCAGTTTTTTTCTTTGCTTCAAACCAACCTCAAAACAGGTACCGAGCCTGAAAACAAGACACACCGTTTGGGCTGTTCGCGGACCCGAGGTCCTGCGGCTGATAACTTTTTGAGTGACTGAAAAAAAACATTTACGGCATGAAAATTCCAGTGAAAGCCATTACCATCCACCGACCCTCTTCCACCGCAATCAAGGCCTTCGTAAACAGGCCTGGTTAAAAAAAAACTGCCTTCAGCCGAGAGATGTATCGGGGTGGCATGAAGAAACCGATGTCCTAAAAAAATCCAAACAAGCCAAGCCGCAAACCACAAACTGGCATGGACATGTCCACCTGTTTACCGAATAGCAACCTTTCTTTGCAACATGCAGAACATGTTCAACCCCTACTTCGCAGCTTGCTTTGACTTGGGTCTAGCGGGTTTGTATGTTTTCCCTTGCTTGAAAACTCAGGTTGCGATTTGGCCAATCGCGAGGCAAAGCGTGCATTGAAGAAACGCGACCCGAAGGTCGGGCTAGCGCCAACTCCAAAGCAAAGAGGCCGGGCGTGCCAGGAGCGCGACCGCAGCAACCACTTTTGGGTCCACTGCCTGGGCGATCTGAGGCAACACCGAGAGAATTTCGGGTCACAGTCGGCCGTTGCGTGGAAGACCGGGTTTGGGAACCCATGGCCTGACAAGCTGGCCTCATTACTTTACCATCATCAAAGTCACCCCCGAAGTGGCCTAAAGGGAAACAACCAACCATTTACCGAATTTTGATCACCCCCCAAACACCCTCAAAAAACGACCCCAAGGGCTCCGTGGTTGAACGCATGGACAAAACAACACTTCCATTTCAAGGGCTTCCTTGGAGCGGTGAAAAAGGCCGATGTCTCTCCAGAACTCATTGGCCGTTTTTGAGCAAGCCGATTTCGGACCAAAAAAGAGATCAATTCTATTCACATCGGCGGCGGTTTTCGAGGGCCATTGAAAAGGGCTCCGCTTGGGGAACGCCAACGCGTCGCGCTGCATGAGTGTCATTCACAGTGTTTGTGATAAAACGGTACCAACCTCAACACGACACCAAAGATTCTGTCAGCATTGCAAGGACCTCCGCTCTCTGCAAGCTCAAGCCAAAAACAACATGGCAACTACCCTAGCCCTCGGGGCGCATGACGCAGCCCTTAAGCACAGTGTAGCTCAAGGATGTTCAGGGCTTGCCGCCGCTTGAGACAATGCACTGGCGAGTTCGGGAATCCGTGAGGGCCTGGACGTCCGACCCACGTCCAATCAGACGCTGTCGAAGAGAATGTTTTTCCCTGATCCACTTTATATCAGTACTGAACACTGACATCACTGTCCAGAGCATGAATATTGTTTGTTTTATGTGATTTTATATCCAGTAAATTATGTAAACAAATATATCCATGCTGTGATCCTAATCTTGACTCTAAGCGATTCTCATCCACGATCCGTGCGCTTAAAGCGTACTTAGCCACTTCAACCTCACTTCGAACAGCCCTGAAAACAGTACCACCGTGAAAGGCAGGCCCGAGATTCTGGCGGGTGTCTCTCAAAATAGGGGGCTTGGTGGCCCTTTAAATACCAACCAAAAGAGGGTTGGACTACCATTTGGGTCTGTCTCTAAAGCATCAAAACGTCGTACCTTCCCTTTGGTTTCCCTTTCAGCCCATCCGAAAAAAACGCTCCCTCCAAGAAAGACACTCCTTGAGAAACTCCCTGACAACATGACGCCATCTTCGCTGGGGCCCCAGCATCCAATGGCCCCGTTTTGAGCCCGGCAGCGCCCTCCGCTCCCTTTGCGCCCGTCTCCTTCAAGCTCCCCGAGCCTCGCGCCGTGGAGACAAATACCCCATACACATTGACGAGGTCCTCCAGTTTTTGCGGGGGTAGAATCAGGGTGCCAACTTTTTTTCCGGTTTCGTCTATTTTAGTAGGGGAACCCTCCCAACCAAAAAAGTCGGCGAGAAAGGGCACCAATTGCTGGGGGACCTTGTTGAAGATACAGCTGTTCGAGAAAACGCCAACCTATCAACCTGCCAACCTGCCGAGCCAAAAACTGTCCGACCCCACGTATCTCTCAACCATCCTTGCCCTACCAACCAACCAACAAACCAACCGAACAGTCCCAGTCAAGCGAGCAACCAACCAACAAGCAAACAAGCAAAGAAACAAACAACCCACCCACCCACCAACCCACCCACCAATTAAAACACACTGTCTGTGAAAATGCAAACTAATCAAATCCTATCCCTTAGACCTATATACAATACTTAAACAAATGCCAATCCACGAGTTTTTCACCCACCCACCCACCCAACCGACCAACCAATCCGCCTGCCGGCTTTGCAGCCGCCTCCGGCACCTGGCACCGTTGCCACCAGCTGTGAGGGACACGGATCTGGTGCCTCACACAGAAACAAACAAACAAACAAACAAACAAACAAACAAACAAACAAACAAACAAACAAACAAACAAACAAACAAACAAACGTAAATAAATAGATAGAGAACAACATGATAAATAACTTAGACGCACATATAAAGAATATGAATAAGATTAACAACATAATAAATCAATGATTGAATAATTCATAAATAAGCATGGACAAGCAAATACAATATATATATATATATAGATAGATATATCGTACGCCCCCCCCCCACCCCCTGGTGCCTAGGTGTTGCTTGATTTCAGTCATTGTTTCAGGTAATTTTGCATTTGTTTGGCCAAGCTTGGGCACCAAGGAAGGGGGCGGTGCCACAATTCTACAATTAAGAATTCTGGACCCAAGATTGCTGGGAGACGTTCAATGTGACAATCTGGAATTCAAGATTCAAGACTTCAAAACAATCTTTTCTGGATCCTGGAATATTGAATCTTGCGTCCCATTTTTTTGTTTTTGCTTTTAAGATTCTGGGATTCAATATTCAAGATTCCCAGAAAAAATATATTCTGAAATCTTGAATCTTAAAAATCATATTTGTTTTATGTTGATTTTAAACTATGGAATTCAATATTCAAGATATCAAAATAATCTTTTCTGGGAATCTTGAATCCCATATTTTTTGAAAAGAAAAACAATACAGGTGTGTCCCATTACTCTCGGTGTTCAACAAGATTCTCGGAAAAGCTTTCCGTGAAATATTTCAATCTCGAATCTTCAATCCAGTGGTAAAATACGTTCAAAGTTTTCGAACAACTTGATCATTTTTCAGGTTTGACCAGGATGGATGATTCTCAGGAAAGTTGTTGTGTGTGCAATCCTCGATATTGAATCCTCAATCCAGTGATAAAGCACTTTCAAGTCTGACCCCGAATGTTGTTTGGGTTTGGCCAGGATTGACAATTCTCAGGAAAGTGTTCTGTGTAATCTTCAATCTTGATGTGTTCCATCCAGTGGTAAAATACTTTCAAGTGCTTGGCGATCCAGTGGACACACTTTCAAGTTATTAGTTAGACAAACTTTCAAGTGCTTGTGGTGAGCGGCTTGCTTCATGTTAGCTATGAAGCATGTTGGCCCTTTTCCAGGAGGTAAACAAAGGTAGGTGTAATGCTCGAAAACACTGTATTTTACAGTATTCTATGAAGAGGCGCAGGATCATTAGCGGTACTATATATCTATATATGTATGTATATATATATATATATACACATAGGTATGTATGTTCACACACCGTCACCCCCCCCCCCCTCTTGAACTACCTCTCCACATTTGCTCATCTACTACCTCCGCCTTTTGAGATAGAATGATGTTTGTTGTCCTGTGCAAATAGAACTTTAAATACAACTGCTTCAGCTAGAATTCCTGTTTCGAAATAGCATTAGAATTTGAACCTCTCTTCCCTTGAAATTTCCTTTTGGAACACCGTCTCTTTCTTACGCTGCAAAAGGGCCAGGATTTTAATAACACAGATCGTATTTCAAATTTCCTTGTAGAAGTCCCTTAAATGTTTAGCCATATTTAATACGAACTAAATTTGAGAAGTAGTCTCTATTTAATTGTTGTATTCAAAAGCTAATTGAGTTGTGTTCGTATTAGATTATATCTAACACTTACAGTAGATTATATTTGGGAATAAACTCCTAACTTCTTTTATTGAATATTAGTTGGAGTTTGCCCGACACTATACTTATATTATCATGTAGCCCCTGTTTGGAAAGGATTTGCTTATATAAGCTGTAGTTGAGCAATGTTGAGCATAACTTCTTTTTTTTTGAAAACTATAACCAAATTATATTCAAAATTCCAATTCTAGTTGAGGTAAAATCCTATTTGGAAAGGGTATCATATTGGGACATTTCGGATCTTGCCATGATGGACTGCAAGCCCATTCGTTTGTGCATAAAGTATACTACAAAAAAAACTCTACAGCCTGCGCGCTGAAATCAAGCAAAACCTAGGCACCAGGGGGGGGCATTGCACATATATATATATATATATACGTATATGTGTATGCATATGTATATATGTATATATGGGTGAACATGAACTTGGAATTCAAGAATCACCCAAGAACCTCTGGCGGGGTACCCATTCTTTGTGGTGTTAAAGGGAAAAAGGCAAAGATTGACTTTGGGCTAACCATTATAGCAGGTAACCAGGGGAAACCCTGATGTGACACCTGCCATACTAAATACTTGGAAGCCTACTATAGTGTCTTGCCTGGAAGCACTGGGTATACATGTGTGTGCCCTTTCGAAAGTTGTTTTCAAGGGCCCCCCCCCCATTTTCACCCGGGAAGGGTAAGCAAGCATTTCTTTTCGGGCCCATTTTGAGACAAAGGTTGCTCGTGTTCCCAGCTCACTGCTCGGTGGGCCCCAAGCGACAAAGGGAGTTGGCTCTCACAGGAATCGGACACGGTCACGTGGCTTTTGCTCCAGGACGCCGAAGAATTGCCACGGAGCAGCTGGGAATTCCATAAAAAAGGTTTCGGTTTCATGGCTTACAGGCACCGAAAAACACATTGAAAGTTACCCAGGTGGGCTGGGGGTTTCCCTTTTGAAGCATCTAAAAGGGCGGCTTTCTTTCGCAATCACAAGGTGGGTTTTCTTATCTAAAAAGGGCCGAGGCCCCACTTTTAGACGTATCTCCACCCCCACATTCGGGGACGACCTTTTCGTTGGGTTGTTCATACCCTCAAACCAAATCGGGCGTTTCCCATTTCAAAGAGTGAGTGCCAACAGAAAACCCCAATTCAAGGTGATCACCTCTTGGGGCCACGAACAGGGCGGCAAAAAATCCTTACCGGTGAGACGGGGCCGGGGCCTTCGCCGGCTCCGGCTCCGCCTCCGTGAGCCGCCCTCCGCCTCAAGGCGACGATCTGAGAAGTAGACCCCCGTGGGTTTTGATGTGGTGTCCTGCCCGGCGGCCCGTTTTCAGATCCGGCTGAAAAGTTAGACCCACTTTTGAGGGGTGAAATTCGGAGACTGGCACTAAACACCAAAAGGATCTAAAAAGCTAAGGAACCGGATGGCTGGGAGCCACCAAGTAATTTACTATTATTGCTTTTGCGGGGGTTGTCCGCTTTGCTCGGGGTCATCATGTTTGAAGCCCTCATCTCGCTAGCAGGACGGGTTCTACTTAGATCCGGGCTTTGCAGTAAGGTATTGGGGGCCCGGATGAACAACCTGCTCTAGTAGTGCATCCCGTTCAAAAAAACTCGGGAGCCTCGCTAGGGGAAATCAAGAGGGGCTTCGGGACGAAATCAGGAGTTCCTCAGCCCTGCCCATCAAACATCCGGACATCTCACGCGACCTTAAGAGCACCATACGTCATCGGCTCTGGCTTTCAGGGGAACCATATTGTGGTTGGGAACGTGCCCCATTGTTCTTCTCTCGGGGGAGTAGCTTCCAGTACTTGTTCCTCTGGTAGGCAAAAATGACACATTGCCACAATGCGGCAGTTGTTTGAATTCTGTTTGTGATGGAGGGTGATTCGTTTCAGTCTGGTTCAGGATAGGCGAAGATTGGGTTAGGGTCTGCGGGTTATTCATGTTGGTTTTGGATCCTTTTAGGCTGGTTCAGGGTAAGTTGAGGGTTGGCTGGGGTTGAGGCTTCAAACATCACCTTGACCCCCTATGAACCACCCCCTGCTGTTGACGGACGAAATGTCGTGCAGGATTTCCGTCATTGTAACATGTTTGCAACCAAGGGCCCTTAGACTTCCAATGCTAAATGGGGAGCGGGGTTTTTGTAAACCATAGCGAAAGTGGTGCAGGATTTCGTCCGTCCACAGTATGGTTTCCTTCACGGGATCCGTCGGTTCATTCCCAAAACCCTGTTGACTGCCCGCCGAGAACCAGCAGGATGAAGAGATGGGTTGGGAATGAACCCTTACGTGGAAATGTTTGGGCTCGGAAGGGTCCCCCGTTTGGAGGAGGACCGTAGTGGAACCTCCTTGGACCCTGATGTACTCGAAGAAAAAAATCCTCTCCCAGGCGAGTATGTTTACTAGGAGGGCTAGGAGGGGGGAGAGGTAGACCCCTAGCAAGCTGCTGGTGTGAGTCCGTCGACACGCACGATCTCCGCAGAGAGTGTCGCTTTTGCAGAGGCACTTTGCCGCCTGAGACTAATGTATGTCTCTTGTGCCAACTCAATTCTTGACCAGACTTACACCTCTCGTGCAAGTTCTCGCCTGCAAGTGTTCGTGTCTGCAAGTGCCGAGTTGTCTAGCCATTGTGTTCTGCGCAATACTCTGTGAACTTATCTATGCAATTTCTCTTGTACGAGTTCTCTAAGCAAGTTCTCCTGCCATTTTGTCTTGTGCAACTTCTCTTGTGCAAGTTTTTGACGTCTCTGTGCAAATCCTCGCATGCAAATCCTCGCGTGCGGTTTCTCTATGCTTCCGGGGAAAAATAGCGAACCCGTCCGGGCAAAGTTCGTTTTGCACGATCCCCCAGCAGCGACCTGGCCCCAGAGCCCCAGGCGTCAAAACCCACTGGTTCAAAGTAAACCCCGGAAGGTTGGAAGGAATGGACTGCCCGGCCATGTCATCCCTATATGGTTGATCTGCTAGGTTTGGATTTTTTTGGAAATTGTGCATTCATCTTTACATCTAATAGGGCCTATGTAAAGAGACAATCATCTCAAGGTGCTTGGTAACATGCGAACATTGTCTCAACTCGCAAAGGGAACCCTGACGAATGGAAGGAATTGACTGCATGGGGCCCGGGGGTGCAACAGTACTTGAAACAGTCGGCTTAAACCACTTAGATTTCGAGCCCCTGCCAAAAGTAGACTGTTCGCCAGCGAAGGGATGTGACAAATGATCAAGGCCAACAAGTCGAAAAGGTAGGCAAAGCCTGACAATGGTTCACCTACGCCCCCTCCAACAAAGTGCACACACACACAGCCTTATGACTCACTGTTAATTGGGATTTGGACCCCCTGTTGGATGGCTGTTTTAAAGGGAATCCAAACGGAATCAACCATAAACCTCTACTTGTCTTTGTCTTAAAATAGGGAGACCAGCAAAATGGTGGGTCTTTGTTTGCCTGTCCCTTCATTAAAAAAAAAAGAAGTTCGAGAAACACCCAAACCCTTCCCACACCATCCCGCCAGGCCTGCCGTGGCGCTCGCGCTCGACTTGCTGCTCGCTTCGGGCGGCTCGCCGGCGGCTTGCGCTGGGATCGGCCTTCCGCGCAAAGCAGATGCTAGGGTTTGCAACCTGCGGGTGAAAGGTCCTCCAGCTAAACCCCCAGAATAACCCCCGGTGAAACCTTCGAGGGATAATCTTGAAGCTAACTCACAAACAAAGCACCTGGAAAGGACAGCTGAGATGTCAAGCGCCCAAAGGATAGCTCACTTTCTGTTTTGGATGGGCCCAAACTTTGGTTGTTTACCGCCATGGTCCAAGCCCAAAAAGTACAAAAGCCCAAGAACTCAGGAAGTGAGATGGTGGATCAAAAGCCAAATCGGTTAGCCCCTGTGAGCATCCGATTCAATCCAACCACTAGAAATAGGTTCTAAAGTGGTGAATTCACCAACCCCAAAATGGGATCTCATTGGTTTTGACAACCACAGCCAGATAGCCTCTCCAACTCCATCCATCCGGGCAACCTCACCCCGAACTGGGCCGCTTCCCGCCTCGGAGCGGCCGAGAAGCCGGGCGCCGGGACCTCCGCTCCGAGGATGGCTTTGCCAAAAAAACCCACCGCCCCCGCCAGGTCGTCTTTTCGGGGGAAACGAGGGAGGGGGTTCCAGCATCACCTTTACTCGGTTGCTTTCCTTCTGCCCCCCTGCTGAAAAGTGACTAACTGTTAGTGGTTTCATACGGAAAACCCGTTAGTTGGCAAAAAGTTAAAGTCCTAACATCCCTTGGCAAAATGCGCCAAAGTTCTTTTTAGGGGAAACGCAGAAGTTGGATTCCTGCCCGGGGGGAGGTATGTGGAATCAGGACTTGGTTGCTTTCCTTTTGCCCCCCTGCTGAAAAGTGACTAACTGTTAGTGGTTTCATACGGAAAATCCATTAGTTGGCAAGAAGTTAAAGTCCCAACATCCATGGCAAAATGCGCCAAAGTTCCTTTTAGGGGAAACGCAGAAGTTGGATTCCTGCCCGGGGGGGAGGTATGTGGAATCAGGAGATGCCCGCATCATAAGAAACAGGGGTGTTTCCAACTTAAATGGGTGTGTGTGTCTTGAAAGGGGAGCAAAAACATACAATTTAGCAGTTAAGTGGGGATTTCGCACTAAACCCCAATAAGCAAAAATGTGAAATGTTTCCGAGCAACAACCATGGTGTGTGTGTGTTAAAATAGGGGGGAGGCTTTGTGAAGGGCTTCCTGCACTACCAAAAGATCCGGCCGCCGCCTAGGCTTGCAAGAGAAACCAATACCCAAAACACAGGAGTCAAATGGGTACAGGTTAAAATTAAACCACCAGGGGACCGCAGGTTTTAGTCCATGTTTCCAATTACCAAATTACCAGGGGTTCCATTTTGGACACCTATTCTTGACCCACAGCCAAGTGACCCTCCCACCAAGTAACATGGAAGTGCACAAACCCGCTTTCCAAGAGGAAAAAGCCGGCGTTCTACAGGGTCTCTGCACTTCCATGTTAGTCGGGGGGGGGGGTACATAAGCACACTTTTGATGAATCTCAAGTAAGTCCAGAACAGGCTGGACAACCTGCCACTGTCTTGAACTGTGTTCACGCACTTGAAACAGTGGCAGACAAAGTTGTCAAGTTCTCAAATCATGCCTCCAGCTTGGTCTCTGAACGGTCTTGGCATCGAAATGTATCTTGAGTTGACTGGCCAAGCATGTGTCTGCTTTTCGTGCCGTCAGTGATGGAGCTTACCAACCTCACCAGGTCAGAAGCTGTGCGTTCTTGTCGGCTTTGTCCATCGTTTTCAAGCAGAAAACAAGCAACCAAGATGCGAGGGAAGCGTCACCTTCCCTTTCGGCTCATAAGCCTGTCACAAAGCTCACTCGGCGAGGTGCGGTGGATACCCCAAATATTGCAAGGGAACCATCCACATTCAACTCGGCGAAGTTGCGCGCAAACTGCAGGGATTGCCTTTTTTCCCCCACTTGCCATACTTGTGGCATCCAGCGTCAAGGTCTTTTCGCTGGCGAGGCTGAGCTGAACCTCCAAAGATTCATGGCACGGGTAGGGAAGGCTTCCAAAGGATCTGGGCAAATTGCCATACTTCACATCAGTTTCACACATGGTAAGCAACACTCAGTCAGACTCCGTTCACGTGGAGAAAATAAGAAAGGAACCTTCACTAGGTCCTCCAGTAGAGAGGATAGAATAAGGGTACCATTTTTTTTCTGTAGTCTATTTTATTAGGGGAACCCTCCCAACCCAAAAAGGTGTGAGAAAGGGCACCTAGCTGGGGGACCTAGTTCATCACGGTTTTGAGTTCGGTTTTCCGGTGAGCTCACTAGAATCCGTGAAATGATCCTTCTGCGCCTGATCCCAAATCATGGCAGCTGAACGCCAATCCCCCAAACAAATATGGTGTGTGTGTTTGGTCCGCACAGGGAGTTTGAACGTGCTGCGTTGAGTTGGTACCCTATTCATCTGACTTCAAACATTTGGAAAACACAAAGGACAGTTCAAGTCCAAAACGAAATGCAACCGTCAGGTCCCCCTGCTTTTGACGCACACCTTCACAGATATGCTTGGAAAAGCAACACCTGCAAACAAAAAGCCCAGCACGGCACCTTCACCCACATGGTTGGAAAAGAAACATCTACCCTAGGTCCTCCAGTGGAGAGGTTAGAATAAGAGTACCCTTTTTTGTGTAGTCCATTTCAGTAGGGGAACCCTCCCCCCAAAAAAGGGTAAAAGGGCAATGAACTGGGGGACCTAGCCTCGTTCATTTTGTACACCCCACCCCCCCACCTGCACCCTTCTTTCTACAAAACCACCCAACACCTTGGGGAAACAGGAGTAATATATTTATTTAAAAAAAAATATTTTAAAAAAAAAAAAAAAACCAAAAAAAAAAAAAAAACGATGGTGGAAAAGAATGGGAACCAACCCCCTAGAAACCGTCGACCGTCTTCTCCCAAGCGAACGCCCACGTGAGACCCTCCCTTTCGGGCCCGGCCGGTCGCCACTGATAGGCCAGCCTTGAGAACCGGAGGACCCTAAGCTGGACCCCCTGTTGGCTGCTTTCTTTAAAGAAAACAAGCGGCAAAAGGCGACTTACTGAGCTTATGTTATTTTATGTTAACCTATTTATTGCTTTATTTTATTTATTTATTTATTTATTTATTTACTCTTCTTTTTTTTTGGGGGGGGGAGGAGGGGGGGGCGCGCTAGCGCGCTATTTTGAGAAACATGCATCAAAACCGCCGACACGGGGACGTTTACCAAAGGCAGGCTGTAGGAACCTATCTCATCCGTTGGACACATCAGTGATCTTGGATTTGGAAACCAGCCAAACTGGCCCCACATGGCCATGGGTTGATGTATGGGTCTGCACAATCAGCCTTTGACACCAACCTTGTTAATTGTCAGGATGTGCGCAGGACATCACTATAATTCGTATCAACCTGGGGGTAGAAAGCCCTACCAGAATTGGCAACCGCCTTTGGACGCTGCCTGTGTCCCGTTTACGGTACGACTGCATTGTCTGGTCATCATCATTTCCCGTGGCAAGCAACTAGGTCCTCCCGTAGAGAGGTTAGAACAAGGGTCAGGGTACCCTTTTTTTCTCTAGTCTCCCTCCCCAAGCAAAAGGGTAAAAGGGCACCTAGCTGGGGGACATAGGCAACAAGGCCAATCGAGCATCACCTGAAATCCTTGCGAGTGGAACCTTCATCATAAACGAGGCCGCAACGCGAAACCCGTGAGAGGTCCCCTTTCTTTTTTTGCACAGAGGGATTGATTCTGCCGCTGAAAGTGGATCTTTCAGACAAACCACCATGGTCCGAGCCAGAACCGCCATTGTTTTTATCTTTGCGACTCAGAGCATGTCAGTCAACTGAAATTTGGAGCAATTCAGCTTCAGCTTTATGTGCAACTTCCCTGAATGTTTCCAAAGCCTCTTCTGTTTCCGCCCAGTCGTCTCAAGAGGAGGGGCCCTGGCCATTGCGTCCCAACGCGAATGGCTTCGTTGCCGTGGAGGCCTACGCATGAAGTCGCCTTCCTTTTGGCTTCCCCTCACATAACCGAAGGAAGTCGACACTCCCTAGAACCTTTAGAAAAAAAAAAGAACAAGAATAAAAAACAAAAAACAGTTTTCCCCAAAAGGAGATTTCGCTCTGTATTTTTTCGGGATATACCATTCAAACTGACGCTACTCAGGCGAGTAACTAGCCGGCTTGCCAGAGTCCACGTGATGGATAGTTCGGCCACCACTAGTCTACCACTATACCCTGTGTCCAGAGGTCCACCAACCCTACAAAAACCCGTAAAATTCTTTGGGAACGAAATCTGCTGGGAAAAGAACATTCCCTTTTTGGGCTCAGTGTTCATCATACAACCCTTGCATTAGTTCCAAAAACATGTTTTTCTTCACAGGCAAAGATAGTCTTTAAACAAAAATGTGGGAGCAACCCCTTCCAACCCCCTCCTGCTGTTCATCCCCTCTCCATCCTCTCCTTCCCCTCCCCCCACCCCGCACCCCAGCGCGACTGCACCGCAGCCGGCCACCGCCAGCGGCACCGCGCGGCCTCGGCGGGTACGCCGCGAGTTGTGGGCTCTTGCAGTCCCGGGGTCTGGAAACCTCCCGCTTCCAAGTGCCTTGGGTGCACGTGCACCTTTTGTTGTGTGGAGCCGTCCTCATTTTTTGCAAAATAGGTTTCCTCCCACAAGAAGTGAAATTATTACAGTTCCGCAAGAAGTGAGTACTTCGACGCTTTGTGATCTTGTTGCTGGAAGAAGCGACCGGTCTGTTTCATCCTTTGCAAACCAGTGTGTTGTAAAATGGCTAACCAATTCCTGCTGCGCGATCCGTGCCACAAAAATCATTCAAAGATGGCTGGGTGGTTCAAAATGTTGGGCAAAATGGAAAGCTTGGGAACCTAGGTTCCCAATGCTGCCAGTTACCATTTTGTCAGTTTCCCTCTACCACAAGAAGCAGGGATCCAAATCCCCAAATCACCAATCCAAACAACCAATTGAGCGAGTTGCCTGACTACAGTTGGTAGCCAGGTACTGTTGTTCCTCTAAGTTGCTACATGGGTTTGCCTTGATTACCTACTACAATGGGAACTGGAAGCACTGGGAAGGACAAGCTGGATGCGGGTCGCCAAACCCACAGTTTCGTAGGTCCAACATGTACTTTCAAACATATGGGTATGTGTCAAAGTGGATCCCCAAAAATTGGCGGACCTGCTGGCTTCTCAAAAACACGGCCATATCCATGGTCAAAACTCATTGTGGGGCTCACGGTCATAGTTTCTTCAATCGCAACCCTAACAATAGTTGAGCCGAATTCACCACGGGATCCACGGCTTCTTGCGAACCGGCCAGTACTTTGCTTTCTGAAAGCCAACCCGCGGTTTTTACAAACCGGAAAGATCCAAACGAGTCTGGGCCAACTCTTGCGAGATCACTCGGCTTGCGACATATACGGTGAAGCTTGCTTTCTTGGGGCTCCCTTCGGGAGAAAAAGTATGACATGGGCAAACTCATTCGCTCATTCTACTCACTTCCTGAGTGGATGGGCCAGAAAAAACACAGAGACACTTGTGGTTTGTTACCAGAATTCCAGACGCAAAAAGTGACCACAGTCCCGAAACGGAGCTCAGGAAGCTCCTGAGGTTCCGCGCCGCTAGGCCTCGGCCGCGCCTGATGCATCCAAAGGAGTGGGCTTTTTTAAGCTCCATGGGATCGGCGAGGATGAACCAAATCCGTTCGCACCGTTCAGAATCCCTGGTGTCTAATGATTGGCCAGTTAAAATACAAACAAAGGTTCTGGTTTTTTTCTGGAAGCCTTGAAAGTGGTGCGAAATGGATTTCGTTTCTCCACATGGAGGAACGGACTCGGAGAGTACGAGGTCGGCCACGAGGTCTCTGGCCGGGCCCAAGTTCGGGGGTGGCCCCGCGTCCAGGTACCAGCGGAACTGCTCGCGTGCCGTGACCACGTTACAAGTCCGGCGAAGTTCGTAAAAACTTAAGCCCAGGTGAAGTTCCATGGACATCTGTCATAAAACTTAAGCCCAAATGTGACATCAGCACCACGCCCCTCGCGCAACGCTTCGGCACCGGAACCCTCGCGGAACCCTCGGAACCGCGCAGAACCCTCGCAGAACTCTCGCGGAAGCCTGCGGAACCTTACCTCAGAGCCACCCCGGACCACCCCGGAGCCTGTCTGGGCTGAGACCTCATCGCTTTCAGCTGTTGGGGAATTAATAGAGCCAAACCCAATTCCCAACGAAATCCATATCTATGTTCAACCAACTTCGCCATTGAAAGGACACCTATCTCCACACGAAGCTCATTTTGGGAAGCAACTGCCGTTGAAGCCACTTGGTTGCTGTCCCCTCCGCAAAAAGTGCTAACTTTTCTGGGTCCAATGGAAAATTATCTATTTCCCAAAAGGTTAAAGTCCAAACATTCACAAACCCGACATCATGCATCCCTGTCAGTTTGAGGGAGCTTGAATGACCCCAATCGGTCAGCCAAGTATACTGGGCACAATTGGGGAGGGCCCAAGCCGCATCATTTGGCTGGTTTTAGCGACGCGAGCAGATCGCAACGGCAATGTTGCTTGAAAAGGCATTGGGCCCATTTGAGAAAACCACCGAAAAGATAACAGTATCCCACGCGAGACACATGAGAGGGCCATTGGGTAACAAGATGGATATGTCCACATTACCCATGGTCATCTGGGGGTAGCCACACATGGGACCACACAACGAAGGCCCGGTTAGAGGATAAATGGTCGTTTTTAGGCAGCCCCCAACCAAGTTCAGGTTCCGTGTTTGGTTCTTATGCAGGGGGCCTTGTGAACTGTTTGCCTTTTGTGTTTCCCTTTTGTAGAGGTCTATCGCAAGTTCGGCCCAGTACTATCAGGGATTATAAGGTATTATGAGGGCCAACATGTCGACTAGAATCGGATTTGGGGCTACTACAAAACCGTGTTTGCTCGTCACGGGAGAGTCATGTTGGTAATTCCAGCTTGCATGCAGCGTCCTGATGCTTGCTGCAATTGCCTCGTTCAGCGAGCAGTCGATTGCCCAACACCATCGATTTGCCAGTGACATGGCGACAAACACATGCCATGTAAAGGACCGTTGGATCAACCTCCATGTTTCGAGTTTCGGAAAGCTAGGTCCTCCAGTAGAGTTGTTAGAATAAGGGTACCCTTTTTCTGTAGTCTATTTTAGTAGGGGAACCCTCGCAACCAAAAAACATGGTGAGAAAGGGCACCTCCCATGCCGGCGCTCACCCCGGCGCCTGACTCGTCTGGCTGGCGGCCACGGCGGACCTCACGGTGCCGTAGGGAGCCTGCGATCAGATCGGGGGGGGCGGGGGGGCAGCGGAAGGGAGAGGGGGGCGAGGGGTGGGGAGGGGGGGGGGGGGCGTGGTGATCTACGGAAATCGGGAGTTGGACCCCAGAAAAGGTGGCTTTCCCTAAAGAAACCCACACATGCCAACCAAAAGGAGCTTCCTCTTAAAAGGCCGGTGTTGAGGGGAGGGCCTGTGTCATGCGGAAAAACACAAGCCAAAGGAGGCCCATTTGGGACGTAGAACCTGAATTTCAAAAGACCAATTTGGGCTGGAAAAAAAACAGTGGGAGGAAAGCAAATTCCAACAGTCGTACCTCTGATAAGAGAGGCAATGGGTTGCTTCTCGGATTGCAGCTTCAAGCTAAAAGCATAAGTTTGACAGCGTAAAAATCGTTGTGTACCACCAATGGTCTGGATGTGTCTGTGTGGCTTTGTTTCACTGTTTGTTTGCTTGCTTGATTACTTGCTTGTTTTTTTTGTTCTTTCTTTCTTTCTTTCTTTCTTTGCTTGATTAATTGCTTGCTTGCTTGCTTGCTTGCTTGCTTGCTTGCTTGCTCGGTTGGTTGGCTGGTTACGAAGCGAGTGGATGTCGTCGATATACCCACCAGGTTTTCAGGTTTGCTTTGAGAGTCATCTTACGATCGAATCACTGGACAGAAATTGCCCGCTTCTGAAAACAACGAAACATTGCTACGCTCTGATCTAGAGGTGACCAGTGCTCTTTAGCTCGCGCAACCAGCCCTCAAGCACTACCAGCGCAGCCTGCTTTCAATAACTATTGCTCCAAAATTGGCAGGCCCCAAATTGCCCAACATAGATCGTTGCTGCCAAAAACTCAATCACCAAAAAATGCCAGGCCTCAAATTTCCAGCATTTTCAGAAAAATCCGGCGCCCAAAATTGCCAGGCCCCAAGTCTCCAGCACAAACCGCTGCTTTCCAAAACCTCTGGTCCCAAATTGGCAAGCCTCAAGCCTCCACCCAAAATCTGTGCTTGAAAACAATACGCCACGTAATCGGCAGGCCCCAAGTATCCAGCGCAAATCTTTGTTGTCCAAAACTCATGCTCCCAAATTGCCAAGCCCCAAGTCTACAATTTTCACACCCTCTGCTCCCAAATTGGCAGGCCCCAAGCCTCTGCCCAACATATGTGTGTTGAAAACTCCCGCTCAAAAAAGTTGCCAAGCCCCAAGTCTCTAGCCCGCACCTTTGATTTCCAAACCTCCTGTCCCCAAAATGTCCAAGCTCAGAGTCTCCAGTTCAAAGTCTGGCTGGAAAGCCTCTGCTTCCAAGTTGGCAGGCCCCAAGTCCCTACGTAAAGTAAGTGCTGCGAACAACTCCTGTAGCCTCCATACTTTCCAAAACCCCTGCACGCAAATAACCTAGCCTCAAATCTCCAGCACCAAGCTTTGGTTTCCAAAAATCCTGCCCCGACATGCTAGGATTCAAGTCTCCAGCACAAAGCTTCGCTTTCCAAAACCTCTGCCTCCAACTGCCAGGCCTCAAGTGTCCACCAAAATAATTTGCCTTCCAAAGGTCTCAAGCCGCCACCAAAACATGGTTGCCTTCCATAACTCCTGCTCCCGAAATTGACAAGCGCCGCAATTCCAACACACACACACACACATTCGCTGCCCAACACGCATGCGCTGAATTTGCGAGGCCTCAAGTCTCCAACACAAGCGCTTGCTTTCCAAAACTGATGCTCCAAAAACTGCCGTGCCTCAAGTCTCCAGCGCAAATAATTACTTTCCAACATTTTTTGGAATCCCACAAAAATTGCCTTCCAAAACCCCTGCTCCCAAATTGGCAGGCCTCAAGTTAGACCCCAAACTCTTTGCTTTCATATACTCGTGCACCCCGACTGGCAGGCCCCAAGAGTCCAGTACAAATCTTTGCTGTCCGAATCTCATGCTCTCAAATTGGCAAGTTTCAAGTTTGAGCCCGGAACCTCTTTTCCGAAACTCCTGCTTCAAAATTGGCAGGCCCCAAGTGTCCAGCACAAATCTTTGCTCTCCAAAACTCTCGCTCAAACAATTGCGAGGCCTGCAGTATCCAGCAAAAATGTTTGGTTTCCAAAATCCCTGCTAAAAAATAGCAAGCACCACGAGTCCAGGGCAATATGCGCTCTTCAAAACTCAGGCCCCTAATCTGCCAGGCCTCAAGTCTGAAGTACAAACTATTACAGCCCCAAGTCTCCACCCAAAACATGTCTTTGAAAAAAATCTTGTTGCGAAATTGCCAGTTCACAGGTTTTGCAAAACATTTGCCCCCCCCCCAAAAAATGCAAGGCCTCATGTCTCAAGCTTTCCCGGCACATGTTTGCACTGACAGAGGGTTGTCACAAAGGGCTTTCCTGCGCACCTTTCCGGCTACATTTGCCCGTAGAATGGCTTCTGAACCCCAGCGTCAGTGAGAGAATCCTCTCGGAAGGCCCCGACCCTTTTGATTTTTGACTTTCGCTCTTTTGGGTACGCTGTCGCAAGAGCCCTACTAGCCATGCTACGGGGAAATGTGGCCAGAAAGGTGCGATTACGAAAAGTTAGGACGCAGAGTTCCTAAACCTTACCTGCGATATATGGCGCGCCTTTAAGCAGGCCTGTCTACACAAGCTCTCTGACTGATGATTTGCTACGCCCTATCCTTTCCTTCGGCCGCGGCTTGAGGGCACACGCCTAATTCGTTGTGTGCTTTTTGGTTTCTGGGCATTGTAGGCCATAAGAATTTGTTGCTGGAAACCGCGAGGGCCGAAGACATTTATGATCATAAAGCAAACCCTGCTTCGGCGTCACACCTGTTTCAAGATTCACACCTGGGAAACAAAACGAAGGTCAGCCCGCTTTGCTCTCAGGAAATCTTTCGACAGTTGGTGGGGCGCGACCAGAACTTCTTTCTCAGGGGAGGGGGGTTGTTTTAGGAGCCCTTCGTCCTAATCTGCACACAAAGGCCCTCAGCTCCTGCGCACCTTTCCGGCTACATTTCCCCGTAGAATGGCTTCCAGGTTCTGAACCCCAGCGTCAAGGAGAATCCTCTCAGAAGGCCTTTTGATTATTGATTTTCGCTCTTTTGGAAACGCTGTGGCAAGAGCCCTGCTAGCCATTAGCGTGCCACGGGGAGATGTGGCCGGAAAGGTGGGATTAGGACACCCAAGCGCCGCAAACTGCCATAGGGCCGAACAAAGTCAAACCCTCAAGGTCAAGGCTTTTGCGGCTAGCACAAAGCCGCCGCAAAACACAAGATCCCCGTGCTCCCCCAAACCAAAAAAAAAAGCACCTTCCCGGCGTACATGGCCCCTACATAAATTGCTTTAGAGGTCACTAGCCTCAAATGCTGAACGGCCGCCACCTGCTACGCCCTGCCTCCACGCGTCTCCCAAACGCAAGGCTCCGACAGGGGGCTGCGGGGGCAATGAAAAAAAACCAACAGGAATTGCTGAGCGACGCCTTGTTAGGACGCAGGGCTTCTAAACGTCTTCCGCCAGCGCAATGGCAGGCCCTCTATAGCAGGGAGTCGGTCGCAAAACTGCACCCAACAGCGTCTGTGAAAAAACGCAAACACACACAAATTGGAGCTAAAACCACGGCTTTTGTCCAGAATGATATCCGAGAAACTAAAGCCGGAAAAAACTTGTCAAAACCAAGTGCAGGCCAACACGAAGGCCCTCTTGGAAGGACCCAATTCCTTTTCATTC